AGGTCACCTCAAGGAGGATGGCACCCAGGCTTGCAGCTGTCTCTTATACACATCTAGATGTGTATAAGAGACAGCACACACACACACACACACACACACACACAGGTCACTGCGCACATGCAACATAGAGAGAGACGGGAGACCACATGGATGACAATCGCCGCCCAGGCTCTTCCTCTGTGTAAGGACCGAGGACCTCGCCGCCATACTCACCAGGGACATAGAAGACACAAACTGCGGCGGTACCAACTGGCCTAGCTCAGTTGGTACACCCCCGAACTGTTGAAATACAGACCTGAGTTCGAACTCCGCTCGAAGAAAATGAGTAAAATACTACAATCCTGAATTACCTCGGGCCAGTCAGTTCAGAAACCATATCTCAAGGCCGTCACCCTTTTTTTTTAAAGAAAAAAAGAGAAAGAAAAAAAGTTTGAAAACTGTGGCGGTACATCTTCCAATGTTCTTGCGGTAGATTCATTCTGATTTTGGCACTACATTTCGCGAGCGGTGAGGCGAGGTTGTGAGCTACCTGCTACGTGCTTGGACAGGAGTGCTTGAACAGGAGTGCTTGAACAGGATTTCTACATACATCTTGCTGTAATTCAGGGCCTCGCTCCATTACTCACCACATACACAAAAGACAAAAAATATGGCAGTGTAATTTCCCTTGTTCTAGCGGAAGATTCATTCTCATTTTCCACATTCAGTACTGCAGTGAGGCCCTCCACCAATTGGCCTACCTCATTGGTACACCTGTAAACTGTTGAAATACAGACCCAAGATCGAATCCACATGCAATCAGATGGACACTGAACAGAATAAAATAATTCTTGTAAAAAACAAAAATGGAACGAGGCCCTCATTGAAACGGTTTTCACCTCTTCGCAGTAGCAGACGCAAATCCCAGGGTTCGATCCCTACACCTTGCCCTACCTGTGTACAGTACCTGTGTAGACCCCGAGAGTTGAGCCTGTGACCTGTGTATTCGTAAACAGTTGGTAGGCTGTCATAGGTCCGTAGGTAGCAGGGGTTCAATCTGTAGACCTGTAGAACAGAAGTCTTAGCTGTAGCTCTTCTAGAAGGTCAGCAAGTGGGCAAGTGGGCAAGTGGTGAGTCAAGCGGTGGACTACCTGCAGTGCAATTGCAGTACGACCTCGGTAGGTTAGCAGTGAGTCCCCACTCAGTCAGCGGTAAGGTCCAGTCAGTCCCAGTCCAGTTCAGCAAGTACCACAAGGGACTGTGAGCACCATGGGCCGATGGCAAAGGGCAGACCAACGAGTTTCAGAAGTATAAATCAAGAGACTGCGCCCAGCCATTCATTCATTCCTGCGTGAGCCATGCGGAAGCGCTGCCACAGCGATTTGTGCAAGGAGGTCTGCAGTGAGCCCAGAGCTGAAGTGGGCGAGAGAGGAGCGTAGCATAGCGATAGGGTAGTTGTGGCCATAGCCGCCATAGCTAGAGTTAGTGTGTAGTGTGTGTGTGTGTGTGTGTGTGTGTGTGTGAGTTCAGGGAGTCGCGTGTGGGATATCCAGGGTGATCCGGTGTATGTGAACAGTGAGTTGTTTGGGCGCTGAGTCGCCATAGCCAATCGAACCATATCTTTGAGTTTTGTGTGGGCGCATGTCGCCAGTTTGCTGCGCTACTGTTTACATGCATGAAAAGTGTGAATGAAAGCGAGTCTGATTGCATTGGTATCGGAGCTGGTACCCGCTATCCCACACGTCGAGTTGTGTGTCGCAGGAGTGATGCGCCATAGCAGAGGTGGCCGCCGAGAGTCATAGTTCGCCATATTGAACCTGAAGGTTGCAGAAGCCGCAGCGCACCTGCAGAGAAGACCACGACGAAGAAGAAGGCCGAGAGAGAGAGAGAGAGAGAGAGAGAGAGAGAGAGAGAGAGAGAGAGAGAGAGAGAGAGAGAGAGAGAGAGAGAGAGAGAGAGAGAG